AGGGCATTTTGGAATTCCTCCTGGAAAGAAGGTTGGAATGTAGGATGGGTTCTGGGAAAGGAGAGGGGGAAAATGGTGGATTTCCCAAAATCAGGGGTGAGATGGATTAAATCCTCTACCAGCCCTCTGCCATTAGTCCCTCCCCTCCAGTGCAATGTGATTCAAGTCCTTCGTTCCCACTTGCTGAACATGCTTTCTAATCTATTCTTTCAAAAGAACCACCAAAAAGGTACTCTTTAAAAAGAGTACTTTTTTTGCAATTGTCTCACTTCAAAGTGAGTCCAAATGATCGCAGTCGTATCTGAAACCAAATCCAGTGTGAACGAGGCATATATAAAGCAATCAGCAAATCGCTTTAAATCATAGTGGGAATGAGCCCTTAGATTGCTCCCTCAAGAAAGAGGAGCATTTTATTTACAGCACTCCTAGTTAGAGGAGACGATCCTTCCCTAGTACTCTGAGGATAATCAGCCTACATACAACTTAAGCTGGCTTTAGCTTCTTGATGAAAAAAAATCATTCTATTCTGCAAGCAGGAGACAGTTTCAGCCCACTGGTGCACCCCTGAAGCTATTCAGGGTCCGTTTTTATAGATCCTTTGCATAGAAGGAGTTCTGTCTTGATTTTCCTGCCATTGCTTGATTTATCTACCTTGACTAGATCTTATTTATCTCAAGCTGACTCCATTAGATGTTATGAGCTTCATCTGTAGCTCTCACATATGAACAGAATGAGACAATTTACATCTATATATGAAGTTTAAATAACCTGCTAGTTTGGAAAATTCATTCATTCATCCACCCTCCCTCCCTTATACGAAGAACGTACTAGAAACTTCCATGCCCAACAATAGATTGTATCTCCATAGACCTTGTCTAACCAGCAGTTTCTCTATTCATCTGTCCATGGAAAGGTTTACTCATTTTGGGTACAAGAAACCTATCTTCATAACATAGGTACTGTTTCATTGTCAAATCACACAATACATGCAAGAGTTCAAAGTAGAATCATTTCCCTCAGAATATGTATCTCTTGTTTAGAATTGAAATAATTTACACATGGAATTGTGAGTTTGTTACTGCCCGTATACTGTTTTAAATAGAAAACATCATGTTATGATGCATTGTTTTAACATATTGCCTTCTGTTTTCTTTTATATCCTGAATCTTACAACAAGGCCTTAATTTTTTGAAATCTGGGCATTGGTCAGGGACCTAGTAAACTCTGAGCTGATTCAGTATTGCTTCTCAAGAGTATGACCGTCTTCTCTCATTCTCCCTTCCCTGAAAGTATAGTGTAAAAACAGTGGTACAAAACAGAGGGAACCCCTAGCTATTAGACATAAAAGAAAATGGAAGTTCTGAATTTGGACTTGGCTCAAAATTGGTTCAGATCTGTCATATCAAAATTGAGTTGGCTCATCAAATCTGTTTTTTGGAAACAGAAAACAAAGCTAATTTTCCCAGTCTGAGAAAATTAAGGAAGTTTAGCTGGATGCAGCTATTTGTTTTTTTTTTTTTTGGCTGGAGACTTGGTAAGGGGATGATCTCACAATTAACATCTGGATTTTAAGAAATTAGATTTATATTGCTGTGAATGTAGCATCAGTTTACTTCCATCTGTCTTCTTGTAATACATACATGGCCTGTATATAGTTACCGTGATACTGTGTCCACAGCTCTCTCCTGCAAAAGAAGGTCTACTCAGAATTTCTGAGGAAGAGATTTAGCATGACTTAGTACAGTTCTCAGATGACTAAAGGCCGATGCAGACACCATGTTCTCCTTCGCTTAGATTTCTACTTAGGTAAGCAGTCTATGGCTTTCAGAGATAACCTTGGAAGGGCTACATGGGTCTTACACTGATGAAGATCATATAAAAATACCTGAGTAGGCTTTCAACAAGATATACAGATGACACCATAATACTATCAGAAAACCACACAGACCTAGAACAACTACTAAGGAAAATCAAGGAAGAAATTGCAAAGGCAGACTTATTATTGAATATAAAGAAAACAAAAATAATGACCATAGAGAATCTACACAAATTCAACCTAGACAATGAAGAAATAGAAATAGTAAAAGAGTTGTCTTATATGGGATCAAACACTGAGAGAAACGGGGACTGCAGCCAGGAAATCAGAAGATTAAGAATGGAGAGGGCAGCTATGAAAGAACTAGATAAGGACTTAAAATGCAAAGATATACAACTGAACACAAACGTTAGAATCATACAAGCCACTGTGAGAACTGGACAGTTAAGAAAGAAGATGGAAAGAAAATCAATGCCTTTGAGATGTGGTGTTGGAGAAGAGTCCTGAGGATCCCATGGACAGCCAAAAGGACAAACAAATGGGCCCTAGAGCAGATCAAGCCAGAAATCTCCCCAGAGGCCAAGATGGAAAAACCGAGGCTGTCATACTTTGGACACATCATGAGAAGGCACAACTAACTGGAAAAAACAATAATGCTAGGAAAGGTGGAGG